TTTTTTTTTTTTTTTTTTTTTTTTTCTTTTTTTTTTTTTTTCAAGCAGTCTCGGGTTTCCTGTTTCACAGGCTTTGAACATTTTTCGTTCATTTGCCTGATTCAGACTCCTTGCGATACACGCGCTTCTTGGCATGGAGGGAAACAAGACAGAAACCTCTGGTGCTGAAAGGAGCGAAGAAATAATTTATACCTCTGTCAAGTTTTCCCAGCCCCCACCAATCCATGCCAATGATGGACTGAAACGTAAAGGTAAGGGGAACTCTGGGACTAAAGGATTTGCAGTAAGTACTTGCAGGACTTGTGACAAGTCCTGCTTACAGCTGGTGACTGATTGAAACTTTGAGGCTTTGCGTCTTGAGACTTGAAATTTTGGTTCTTCTTTTAAAAAATACTGAGGTCTCACACAGTTTAATAGAAGTCAGCGGGAGCTGTGAGTACAAAACTCTGAAAGTTCAGCCTCTCATGCACATCTTGAGGAGGACACTCAACAACCAAACCACTCTGACCTTTTTTTTCATAATTTGAATGCGTGAAACCTTATGCCTGTGCGGGCTAGAGAAGACGAGGCTCTAGAAAAATTAAAGGTATGTGTGAATCATAGTTGAGAGATAGGAAAAACCTATTAGATCCACTGGTTGGCTTTCCTGGGGTCAGTGCAGGACTGGTCCCTGTGCTCTCTTTCTTTGCTATTATCTTTGGTCTGATTTTAAATGACTCCATGGCCTAAGCTTCCCCTGCCATCTCCTGAGAGGCAATTCCACAGGCCAGTACATCTTGCCAGCACAAAGATTTTTCTAGTATTCACCTTACATTTTCCCTTTCATAATTTCATCTCCACTTCTCCCGGTAACCTTTCCTCCATGTACAGCCCTTAAAATTCCTTTCCCCCTTCCTCTTTACACCTGTTGGATTTGTGCAGGCTATTGTGAAGTCTCTCCTTAGTTGTTGCTTTGACAGAGACAGAATTTAGCTCTTTTAACCTCTCCATATAAATCACTTAATCATTTTTATTGCTGTTCTATGAACTCCCTATAGTTTATTAATAGCCAGTAATGAGGTGCCCAGCACTAAGTAGGTTCTCCTCACATCCACGTGGAGGTGGGCTTTCACTTCCCTGTCCTGTTATGGGATGCTTCTGTGCTTGCCAATGAAAAATAATCTTGCAGGTTCTTATGGTACTTCATACTGCCTGCTGAAATGCTGATCGGTTTGAACAAAGCTGCCTCAGGAAACTTCAAGTACCTTTCTGCCACCTGTGCTGCACTCACTTGGAAGGAGACCTTCCTGCGAAGGAGAATATTGTTGCTGTACAACATCCCTTGCCCAGCATTATATGGTGTCTGTTTGCTTTCCATCTCACTCCTTCAAGGGTGGTCCCTCCCATAATGATCCTGTCTAGGCACCTTTCTCTAGTGAAGCTTAGTACCTGCTTATGGTGGGTACTTAAGTGAGGGACAGAGCTGGGTTTCAGGCCAAGGGGGAAGGTGGGTAGCAAGGGTGGGCACCCATATTGGGGAGGGTGGGGGTCTAGGCTGGTTTCCAGCAGTGGAGGGAGTGATTGTTGTCCATCCAGGGGAGCTGGGTTGACTTCTGGTAGTGGAGAATCAGGCTGGTTGTCAGTTCATATGTAATCTGCCTTTCTGGCTGCAGGAGCTTTCACTTCCAGCCCATGACCTGGCTCACCTCTTAAGCAGAGGCATTCAATTGCTCTAGACATTCCTGGGCATACTCTGTACAATTGAATCCTCTCCCCACAGGTCCCTGGGCAGGGGCCGCAGGGAAGCAGGTTTCCATTTTCTCTGGGATGTGGAGTTCTTTCCACCAGTTCAGCCCTGGAGGACATGCCTCACACTTCTGATCTCCTGAGATGAAAAAAGCCTCCCTCCTGTTTGTCCCTCTCTGTGCTTCTATTGTGGGGCTGTTCAGAGAAGGACGATGGGTGAATGTTACAGCCACAAAAATGCTCTAAGCGATATCTTGTTATTGTATGTATTTGTCCCCATTGTCCAACTCAGCCCTTACCCAAATTCCAGGTCTGAGACATCCTTCATGTGAGGCCACTGAAGTGAGTAGATTTTTGTGCTGGGGATGAGTTTGGCTGAAAGACAGCTGTGGGTTCTCGGTATCCTTGAAAACCCAGCCCCCAGGGGTCTCAAATTGGGCTCTTGAAGTCAGAGGCCACTTTTGAAAATTTTGGCCTATGCATTTTACCTCCAGTCAAAGCCAGCAAGTGCTAGAGCCAGGTCCCTTGAAGCCTCATTTTTTCCTACTCTAACCTCCATGAGATATGCATCCTTTCCCAGTGACACTGAAAACATCTGGGATCTATCTGAGATGCAAGATGGCACAGTTCTGATCCTTACCAAGACAGTAATCACAAAGCGCTAGCAATTTCCAGCTGCAGAACAGAACCTGTCATCATAGAAATAAAAGAGCTAGCAATATTATTGGTTTGCTCCCTGTGAACCACTGTAACTTAGCAGAGTTGACTCAACAGACCTTAAGCCAGTCTTAATTTAAATTAAAGCTGCCTTTACACATGCTCAGGGGTGGGTGTGGAGCGGGGGGGGAGGCATTTGAATTAGAACAGTTCGAAGACAGCCAGTCTAATTAAAATGGCTCACCCCCACCCCTCCACCCTTCCTCTGCATTTCAAAATGGCCACGGTGATGCTGTAACTAAAGCTCATTCAAGGAGATTGAATTGAAGTGGCTTTGAGGCCATTTTCAAATGGGGAGAGGGACTAATACATGTGATGGTGAGGTGACACTGGGAGCATTCACATTAGAATAAGGAGCAGATTCAATTAATTGAGTCTGCTCGGACACGTTCTAATTGGAACGTGTCTATAGTCACCCAAAATGTACAGTGTAATTCAAGTTACAACCCTTCTCTCTGGGGCAATTTGCAGTTTCACAGGTCACTGGTGGGAAATATTTTCTGATTTATCAAGTCTATGATTCATAGAATCATAGAAAAGTAGGGCTGAAAGGACCTTCAGAGGTCATCTAGTCCAACCAACCCCATGCCAGAGGCGGGATCATCTCTATCCGAACTGTCCTATACAGAGTCTCTCTCTTTTTTCAGTTGCATGCCTGCTTCTCTTATTCAATCCTCTTGTTTCTCAGCAGCACCTTCGGTCGTCACCTAAGAATAGCAGAAATGCTTGCAGTTGAATACACTGCTCAGTTACGGTGCTGCTCGGGGCTGTAATTGCTTGTTAACTAAATACACTCAGAGCCCAATTTCTGTTTTCCTTCTTAGTCACATGGAGCCCACCAGGGCTTCAGTTCAATTGGTATGCATGGGAACAGTGTGCCAGCATGGCTTTTCTGCTATCTTATTTTCCAGGAATGAAGCTTTTTAAAATTTCTTTTTTAAAGAAAGACATTTCTCACTGTTCTGGCTGTGGAAATACACTCTGCTCTCATTTTCAAGGTGAACAACTGCAGTGATCTCTGCCTTTGTTTGCAGAAGCTGAAACAATAGATGTGAAGTGTCCTATTCAAGGCAGTGGGACCCAGCTTTGACATTTAGAGTATTAACCTTTTTTCTAAGCGTGTAGAAAAGGAGGGGGAGGACCACATTACAAAGACCTGTACAATCTTCTGTTGATATCTGATATCACATAGGGCTTCTGGGGAGACAGTCCCACTGCTTTCCCCTTTCTCCAGCCAGGAAGGCACCAAACCAAAATAGCCCAGCAGTCCTCAGGGAGGCATCTGAGCCTTCCCAAAGTAAACCCCATCCTGAAGAAGCCCAGTTGTCTATGAATCTCACGAACAGGCACCCAGGCACAACGAGCCCCTCAGAGTCCATGGCGGTGCCTGGGCCTCTGGCAGGGAAAACTAACTCCAAGAACATGTATGGACATATTTTGAACATCCCTAGTCTACTGGAAATGGCATCTTGGGCCCAGCACTTGGAAGAGGCCTACCACTGTTGTTATTTCTGTTTAGTTGGTGTTTCATTTGTTGCCCTTGGATCCTAAGCCTGTACCTCATGGTACAGTATTGGGCCTGCTTAATTCACCATACTCTGACAAAGGGAAAGGGTTCAGAAGGTGCATGTGGGCCTGGTGGGGGATGGACAGGCCCAGTAGATTCATTGATCAAAGTAGATGAGCTTTGTGTTAATTTGTCTGTTTGTGAAATATAGTTGTTTTATTGTACATGTGCTCAAAGCCCAGGGAAATGACAGAGCCAAGTGACTGAATCCATCAAGTGCATTTACTTTAGTCTTTATGGCCATTTTTACACGAGCCCCAGGAGATGGGGAAGGTAGGGATGCTTAATTAGAGTGCCTCTGACAGCTACTCTAACTAAAGCGCCTGCAGCATCTTGTGTGTCAGTGTCCTCACACATCAAAATGGCGACTGGGGCACTTTAACTAAAGCTAATCAAATGAGCTGCCATTTTGAAGCATGGAGCTGCTGATACATAAGATGAGGAGGCTGGCTGGAGTGCACTAATTAGTACATCCCAGCAGACTTGATTAACTGAGTCTGCTCTGATGTACTGTAATGACAACATACTGGAGCAGCCTCCATGCATGTCTACAAGCACCCTATTAGATTAGATTTTCACATCCTCCTGTTTCAGAAGAGGTCACGTTATCAGGTTTCTAAAGCCGATTGAGATCTATACCTATCAGACAGAAGAAATGGAGAAAAACAAAAACAGCCAACTCGTCAGAACTGTTTGATCAGAATTGAATGTCATGTCTTGGAAGATAATTATCTCCTTCTTGAGCTATTTGCTATGTACAAGCAAGAAAATGAGTCAGCCCTGCCATGCATACCTAACTTCAGGGCTGGGGGATTTTTCAGGTCTTCAGGCTGACTCCACTTTCCTGGGGGGCTGCACTGGTGCAACTGATGTTGTGTTTGAAGGCAACAGAAACAAAAGTAACATCAAGTAGACGTGAGGTGGCCAGGCCATGGCACAGGTGCCACAAGTGGCACAAGCAACCTGTGTGTGGGACATGTGGCAGACTGGGGAGGGAACAGGCAGCACAGCAGCAGACAGGGCAGGAAGCAGAAAACAGCACGAAAAAGAGCAGGGAGCACTGGATAGGGAGCAGGAGAGAGCGCAGCAGATCAGGCAGAGGAAGGGGATTGAAGTGATACTTGGGGAGGGCACAGGACTTAATTTGTGGCATGTCTGCTAACGAGGTATAGTCTACCGTACTGAAGTAGACTCTAGGAAGAGCCAAGGTAAAGCTGATGCAAACAACAAGAGGCTTGAGGTCTCGGATTTCCACATTATCCTGATATTTCAACTTATTTAAGCTGAACAGTATTTGATGCTGATTGTTTTTAAATAACCAAGGAGAAGAAGGTGGGGAGATGGAGGCAAGAGACCTGCCAGCTTTAGGAAGTGCTGCAAAAACTTCCTCTTTGAGAATGTCTGCCCATTATAAGTGACGCTTGCAGCACTGACACTTCTGTCCCAGAACTACCAGACAACCAGAAGACCTGGTACCTGTCAAATGTGCAAGCACAATAGGAGGGGAAAGAAAGAGTCTTAACAAACTGAACTGTCCTTCCCACCAATTAAAATTATGCAATTAAAGCAAGGCCTCCTACATAGCCAGTTCAGGCTGCACATAGGATGACCTGCCAGAGGTGCCGCAATGTCCACAAAGGATTTTACTGATTATTTGATGTGGAATGGGTTCACCAGTAATAAACCTGAAGATAGATTAATAGAGGGCAAGCTTATGCTCCAGGATTGCTCATTGTGTGCAGCTGTTTATTGATGATTTATTACCCTGTTGAAGTCCCATTGCCCATTCAACTTGCATCACCGCGTTAAAACCCCATACAATAAATGATAAAACAAAAACCCCAGAATCCCAGCAAAAGCAATAAACATAGACATGCCCCACACACAGCAAAGATTTCCAAGTAGATTTTGGCATTAACATTGGTATGTCAAGGACCTTACTGAAACCAAACATGTCCTGGGTCAGACTCCCCTCCTGTGCTTGCCCACTAAAGACAAATGAGTTACACAGAAGATGACCTGTTACATATAGAAGTTGGTGACTTGCCCCCAACACATGCTCTAAAATCCAGGCACCTTTTTAGGATGGTAGAAGCTGCTCTAGAGTATGGCAGAAATTATGTTCAGAAACCCCCCTGAGCTGCTGACACTATAATAATAATTTATTATTAGGAATTTGTAGCAGCAACCTAAGTCCTGAGGATTAGGCCCATAACACTGGGTACTGTACAGAGATGAGCAAAAAGACAGTGGTTGCATAGAAAGAGTAACTTTTCCACCTGAGGCTCCAGAGAGAGTCTTAGAAAGACATAACCGTGAGCAGGTGTGCGACCTGCATGCTGAAGTCAGATCTTATCCTTGTGAAAGTGCCAGGGTTTCATTAAATAAGCAAGTGGGAGAAGCCTTGTTGGTACTTTAGGTCTAAAAGGAGGCAGCTCCAGCCACAGCAGCCTGTCCCCCAGCACCTTGCAGTCATGTTGGGGTCAGTATCAAGTTGGCTGCAGGAGCATCCCATTCCCCTGCCAGCTGCACAGCACCTGCAGCACCACTGTGGGGTCAGTGCTGGCTCTGAGGAAGGAGCACCACCTACCAGTACCAGCCAGTTCTCCTCATACCAGTACTAACCACCACAGCATTCCTGGGAACTATGAAGCACTAGGTCAGTTCTGTAGCATCACTGATGTGCGTATACCATGCAGAGTTACTGAGGATACTGCAGGAAGCCCTATGTGGCACATCTCTCCTGAAATCTTCCAGGAATAAAGGCTGCAGCACTCCTGCTGTTGCTTAGTTGTGTCTTACAATGAACCCCAGTACATGGGGACTGGTAATTGTCTGGCCCATTTCCACACTGTGCCAGTGCTATGCACACAAATGAGCTATGCCAAGGCTATCAAGCACCTTAGGGCTTGTGGGACTCCGTGACAGCTTGAGAATTTGGGACTGGGGTGAACAGGGGCAGGGCCTGGCTTCAAATTCCCACCTTCAGAGTCCTGATGGGCCTATATGTTGTTGGGGGAAGCGGGGCAAGGGCAGCAATAGTTGCTCTAACCCTTACATCACCTTTTGCCTTGTCACTGCCACTTGTTTCGCCATCACCATCCATTTGTATCAAGCCCAGGAGGCTCCTTGCAGTCTGGATCTGGCTCAGGGGCACAAGTGAATTTGACACCCTAGGCTGTACAATGCTGCTCATAATGGGGACAAGCAGTCCAGGGTGAAGCCTACATTTACCCTGACTCCTATTTTCTCTCTTCCAGGCCCATGCTCCCAGTCCTCTCTCGTTTGCCGCTTGACTGTAGGTGTCCTGAGTGCCGTCTTGCTGGTGCAAGGGGTAATGCTAGTGGTCCTGCAGATGAGTAAGTGTACAAAATAGCCCTGGGCCTCAACAGCCTGAGAGCAGAAGATGGAAGGTCTTAAGCAGAGGAGGTTGGATTCTGGTCCCTGTGACACTGGCATAAGGGTGGAGTAATCCCCCAAGGGAGGATGGAGTTACTCTAGCTAGGCACCAACATAAACCAAAGCTCAATCTTGCCTGTTGCGTACCTGCAGGCTCCTTGGGGTAACCTGAGCTGCTTCACCTGAACTGTGCTCCCCAGTTACAGAAAGACAGGTACTCAAAGATCGTTACAGACTTGTGTGCTGTGAGAAATACAGATACTCTGGGTGTGACATTCTGAGTACAGCATGCAAAGAAGGTGCTAAACCACGCCAGAGAAGAGCCCATATGTTATGTAAATAGCTTTAAGCTGTGAGCACAGCTGCCCCGCACCTCAGCCCCTGCAATGATCACATTGTATACCATTTTCCCACCGTCTTTGCAGTCCCTCTCTTGCTTACAGAGTGCCAGATTCTACTCTCTCAGATCTGCGTAACTCTTCTGATATCGGTGTGGTCAAAGTGAGGGGTAACAGTAAGAACAGCAAGTTTACAAAGGCCCTTGTGGTACTACATTTCCTGCCTTAATCACAGTCCTTGCTTTCTGCACAGTAGTCACCTTCTGCCAGGGGGTGGCTCCATGCCAGCAAGCAGGTGTGTGATCTCTGAACTATCCAGGCTGCCATGTGCCCTGAGATCCTACAGAGGGGACAGTGAAAGAGCAAAGCCATTGTCATGATTCTTTACAGGTGACTCCTGTCCGCGGTGCCCTGAGCCGTGGATGGGCTACGGGGACAGCTGCTACCTCTTCTCCAAGGAGAGAAAGGACTGGAATTCCAGCCAGGAGTCCTGTGCTGCAGAGAGCGCTCGTCTCCTGGTGATCAGCAACACCCAGGAAATGGTAATGCAGGTTTTTGCATTGCTTTGCAAATGTCTCTGCAGTCTGACCACCCGGGGGTGCTGTTGTGTCACTTTAAGCCAAGAAAAGCCTTAAATATAAGGATGGTTCCACACTAGGCTACGTTTAGGGCCCCATTACATATTAATTTTAGGCAGCTCCTGGGACTTTTAACTCCTGGATTGTCCACACATTAACACCTGAAACTAGTTTTAAGCACACTTTAGACATCTTAAAGTTATGCCACTCCAAGGCAGGTTTATCTCTGATCCATGTTACCCAGCTCATGTTCCATTAATGTTCAGCCACTCCCCACAGATGAGCTACCCAAGTTACAGTCCTCCAGCATCCCAAGATGCAGTGTCCCCTCCCCAACCCTCTTGTTCTGTCTAGACAAACTTTCCATGCCCTAAACTCTACTGCCCAGGGGATGGTTTTGGTACCAAGCCAACTCCCTGTCCTGACCCAGAGGAGTGACTTTCCCACCCACAGGGCTGCAACCCCATTCAAACAGCCTACAAAGCACATGCCACCTAGCCAGGTCTCAGGGCATGGACAGGTCTAGGAGTGGGTCTGGGGGAGGTTTCATAGTTTCATAGTTTCTAGGGTCGGAAGGG